AAATTGTTTCCGTTACGGTTCTTGATAGTCGCGATTAACATAATTACGAATGAAATTATTGGCATGCATGAGCTGTACTTGTGGGTAAAATTTTTGTATTTATTTAAGGCATGGGCTATCAGAAATCCATTCAATGGCACTATCGGAAACTTTCCCAATCCAGTCTGAGAGCTCCAAGTACAAATGGAATTGTTGATGTAACCTTTGTAATGTACTGATAGCTCGTTTTAAACACTACTTGTTTATATGCAACAAAACCAACCTATTGAAAGAGGATCGTCGAGGATTTCTGTTCGTTTTTATGCTTTCAAATACGGTATTTGTAGTCGAACTTACGCATACATACATACATACACACACACATATATATATATATATATAGTAATTAGTAGGAGGATTTGATAATTATATTTAATTAATTCATTGAGTCTGATAGAAACCTCAACAGGAATAGAGGAAGCACTGGACGGCCTATAATTGGGACTCATCAGCAGTGCGCATCCACCACCGAGTATCGAAACCCTGACAGTTGGGTTGTCAAGCGAACAACATACCAACTGTACCAAATGGGCCTCGGTGACGAAGAGATTCCAAAGAGATTCGCTTTTCCTGTTGAGGTTTCTATCAGACTCAATGAATTAATTAAATATATACTAAGCTTAGCCGAGGTTGACAATAGGCCACAGTACTGAATAACATTTAGGAATAACTGTATTAGAAATTATAATGCAATAGCGGTAATATCGGTTTTCCTCCATGGCAATGGGTGCTGAACAGTCTCTTCACAGATGGAGACGAGAATTGAGGCAACAGAAAGTGGGTTCTGCAGAAGAATGTTGAGAATGCCATGGACAGAACATGTGAGTAACGAGGAAGTTTTACGGAAAATAGAATAAAAAAGACGTTTAAACTTAGAATCAGAAAGAGAAAGTTGAAATTTCCCGGGCACATAATAAGGAAAGAGTGCTTGGAGAAATTGACACGCACATGGCATATTCAAGGCAAGCGAAACAGGGGAAAGTAGCTAATAACATACCTAACCAGCTTGTGTTAATGGTTGACAGTACATGGACGAGGAGTGTTGACAAAATGACAAAGCTAAGAGTGACAAAGGCAGGAAGTTGTGGAGAGTCATGATCACCCACGTCCTGAAGGAACACAGTACATAGAAGAATAAGAAACTGACTAATGTTATAGCGTAAAAACTTAACTATTAAATGCGTTTAGAAAGGTTGTGTACTCTAGATTTTTAAGAGGACAGACTTTAGCTTTGAAATTAGTATTTGAGCTTTTAAATTTGATTTGGATTCGAACACCGGACTCTTGTACTGATAGAAAATATATAATTATCTCAGTCCAAAGTTAGGGTTTCAACATAATAATATTAATAGAGTAACCCAAATTTGGCACAAGGCCGAAAGTACCGAGCAGCCATCGAGTGTTGAACTCACTTGTATCAGAGCTAGCGTGATAAGTTGACAAATCATTATCACCACGTCGAAGTACATATAATATTTTAATATTAAGCACACGCGTAGACAGTTATATATAAGCTCACACGAGTACAAATACATGCGCATACGAAAATAAGTCCGATATCTTTTCACGCGTACGCATGCGCGGAGGCGTAGTGATTTCTACAGTTTGCTTTAAAAATCAAGTAAAAAAACAATCGGCTCCTGCCTGGGAAACCACAGTTCATATGAGCCAGCACAATAGATACTGTAAAGAAAAAAGATAACTGCACCGAGACGACAAAGTCAAAACGGGCATAAATATCAGTGGTAAACGTATAAGCCACAAAATAGTTTCTTATTTATAGAGGCGGGGACCTGAATACGATGCACGCGCCCAGCGGTTGACTTTCAAATGCACCTTTTTTCCCCGAATATTTTGGATCGAAATCTTAAAGAGGCAATTACGCTAATCGATTCTTTCGCAGTTGACACTCTCCAAGTATTGATTGTCTTTTGACCAATTTATTGTTTGCATACTAGCTATTCTTCCTTGCTATTAACGTCCCACTGGCAGCGGTCTGTCTCTCGTTACAATAGACTTGACTAACACCACAGCGGCAATCTATTGATCGTCACACGTTCTATTCGATTTAGCTATTTAGACTATGCTTGATCGAGATTAGAGAAAAGCACATCGGTCACACAACTACATGCTTATCCAGACGCCTTACATTACATAAACTTACCAGACTCCATTAGAAACATACTAGTAGAAAACACAAATATAATAACTTCATCCACTTGTAAAAAAGATTAAACATAATGGAAGCTTTAATAATAAAAAAAGAAAAAATCCAACTCTTAACAATATTAACTACGAACAAGACCACAATGTGCTAACCGTATCCGGAAATTAAAAAAAAAAAACATTTCTACAACACACTAAAACATATACATAATGCACACGCTCAATTAAGCGGAAAAATTAAATCATCCTTGATAATGGCTAAAGGTATAGCCGAAAGCGCTCGGAACTATAAAACATTTGGACAGTTTTTACATACACTTTGTCCAGAAAAGAAAAGCTCTTGTTCGAACACAAGAAAAATTAATTACAAAAACTTAACCGTAGTACCTTGTCTGTCGTTTTTAATGAAACACACACACACACACACACACACACACACACACACACACATATATATATATATATATATATATATATATATATATATATATATATATATATATATTAGGGCAGGTTGATTTTTCACTTTTTTTTAGAAAACCAAAAAGAATAATGTACCGAAAATTGTGTATAGACCTATTAAGTACTGATACAAAAAATTAGATCTGACACTTCAAAGGTTTTTTGAGCATTTACATCAAAGATCGTAGAGAAAAATACACTGAAAAATCCTCAATTTGGCAAGATTTGGCCTAAATATTGATGAGAAAACCAAAAATTTCAGTATTTAAATTCGGGATTGTTGTTATTTTATTTCATCAAAATGAAATAAAACAAAGAAATTATAAGTAAACTTCAAATTGAAAACCTGCCCCCGCCCCATTATCAGTGACGACTTTGAAATGCTGTTTTTTTACCTTATGAATTAAGCAGTAATAGCTGAATACATTAAAAACTTGATATTTTTTCTATTATGAACAAAAATACGACAAACAAATATGGAAAAATAAATAATAATTTAATAGGGCTTAATATATAGTCAAATAGCTTCATATAAGAGCCCTCAGATGAAAATAATGGTCTCAATTTCTGACACAAAGCTTTTGATATTATGTGCTGGCGCCTTGCTTCAAAGCCATACACAGATTGGGAAACTTCTGTTGTTAACTTCACTGCCCGTTCCACGCCTTGAGAATGGGAGGGCAAATCGGTCAAGTCAAGTTTCCTACCATTTAATAATTATTCCCGAAGTTCATTTTCAGAAAATTCTTTTGTGAGTGGTGGTTCACAAACTCCACATAATGACAGATCTTTTAACTGTCTCCAGTGTATAGCTTTAAAATTGATAGTTGTCATTCTTTTCAATCTTTTCTTTGCTGGCTGCCCACCCCTGAAAGAATATAAAAATTAATTTGAGTTATTAAAAAAAAAAAACACTCTGTACTGCTTTAATATTTATGATGAATTTAAATAAAATCCTTAAAATGATTCTATAAATCGGTATAACTAATTTAGTCAGTTTCATATGAATAAATATTTACTAACCTAATGGCCCAAATTCTTTTTATAGCTTCTTCCCTCACTTCCAGTTCATCAGATTTGACCATTAAATATAAAATATTTTCAGGCAGTAAGGCGAAAACATTGTATTGTATATTTTTCAATGTGATCTGTTGGATTTCATATGGTTGCTTCCTAATCCTTTGGATCATATTGAAAATATACATTGTGGAACTTGTTATTAATTTTAACCAGCAAATGGCATATACATTCACAATAAAATTTATTAAACTGTGGAGTTTAGTTGAAAGATTTTGTGGGTATGCACCATGAGTCCATAAACACATCAGACTGATGCCTAAAGTTAACCACCTTGCCTAGTTTAATGGACCAATTTTCCATGATGCAAATCTAGAGTCCATCTTACCTCTACAAATACCCACTGTATATTCATAAAGGAGTCTTTGGTCACAGCTCTATTTTCAATTAGAAAAAAAGAATCCAATAAAGGACTGCCAATAACTGAAAATGATATTTGGGATAAATTATGGTAATAATTTGCACTTAATTTACCCAGTGGACCATTGAATGTGGTAGGGCTTTTTTGTGTTACCATCTACATGTTTAAAAAGAGCTCTAAACGGAAGTTCATTTTGATGCAAGGAGCAACCAATAGTGTGAAGATTTCTGTTAATTTTTCTTTCTAGAAGTGCAACAAATCCACCTTCACAGCCTGTATTGGCATTAGTGTTGTCAACAAGGATAGCCTTGATAGTGGTCACACTGTTGAATTCATGCAAAAATCCAGCCACTTATTTGGCAAGAACAGTACCAGTTGCACCAATATTTGGAAGAACCCTATGTGTCAGATATTCACTTTCATATGGCATCTCCTTTGTGACAGTCAAATGGTGTTCTGGTCCCTTGGTTTTTTTTTCAGGGTTTTCTTTCCACTTTCCTCCACTATTTCCTTGTACAATAGCGTGTTTTTGTCAGTTCTTCCATCAACTCCAATACAAAAAAAGATTTTTCACCTTTTCATCATGCTTTTGATGGGCATTCGTCTTCACTTTATCCTTTGCTCTATCAATTTTACATTTATCTATGTAAATATCTTTTAGATTAATATTGGGGATAAGAAGGCCCATAGCCCTCAAATCCAAGAGCAAGGCATTAGCAAGGCTGGCTCCAAGATTGGAAAGATACATCACTCCTTATCAACTCAATAGCATATCTTGGAATTTTGATAAGGCTATATGGCCCTTTGGGATGGCTATCTGGTTGCAAATATTCATCTTCTGTTTCTTCACTAGAAGATGAGAAGGAATGGGAAGAAATATCATCTTGGACATATGATGTTGAAGCTATCGGTGATGAATCTAGATTCTTTTGTTGGCTTAATCTCTCTATTTCCCTTTTAAATTTTTTATAGCACTTTTATCTGTTGGTCCAAGCTGGAAAGTGCCCTTCGGCCCTATTTTGACCCCCTGATCTTTCAAATATTCATGGTCTTCCACTGGAACCTGAAAGATCAGATTTTACTTATCTTAAAAATACATCGAAACAGATTAAAATAAATCATTTTACATGAAAAATAAAATGGAAAAAATGACTTTTTATATTTCTTTAAATAATATAAAAAAATGTGGAAATTGATTTCACTCAAAATTTGCATGATTTTAATATTACGTTGTCTCCATCACAAATACATTAAAAAAAAAAAAAATAGAAAATAACTTACTTTCTGTTTCATAGGACAAGTGCAGATTATGTGCTTAGGCTGGCAATTTTCTTTGTTGCATTTAACACTAGGGTCATCACAAATTAATACTGGCAGTTTACATGAACAGGACGAACGTGTCCAGCTTTTCCTTCCAGAATTTCTTTTTAGGCACCAGGGAGAAATTTCCTATTTATTTGCTTTTGCCTTCTGGAAGCATAGTATTTTCACCTTGTTCAAAATACTAATTTCATTTAATAAAGATAAACGGGGACTAACAGCTTTCCAGATTTCTATTACATCTTTTGCTATTAATTTACAAATAGCGAAACTTGAAAGGTGGGGATAAGTATTCATTAAAAATAGCTATATTGAATAATTTGTCGATAAATTGGGGGCTCTGTTTTATCTAATCGTGAAGGTGGACCTGAAAATTTAATTGCATCTTTACTACGAGTTGAAATTGAAGTGATGTTTCCTGCCATTTTTATCATAATATCTGAAAAAGAAAATATGTGTTATAAGAAGTTACACAAATGAATATTTTTCAAAATAAATTTGAAAATAAATTTCGAAATACATAAATTTTAAAAGTAATGTTTTGTTTACTTAGCTAAAAGTAGAGTTAGTTCTGAGATTAAGCAGGCGTTTTAATAAAACAGTTTGAAAATATAAACAAATTACAATAAATATAAAAGTTGTATTTTTTTAAATAGATAAGTTTATTTTGATGAAAAATACAATAGATATTTGTGCTAGTTAAAAGCGTAAACAGTAAACAAAAATAAAACGAACTTGTAAGGAGGTAATTACTACCGGTAAATACCGAAAAAATATCCAGTAAAAAAGACACGGTTCATAATTAGTTATTTGTATTTTAAACTAAATATTTTAGTGTGTTTTATTTTTTACTTTTAGTAATTTCATTTAATTTATAAAGAGAATAGATACTAAACTTAAAAATATCTATTATTAAGCGGATTTTCTTTTTTTCTTTTCGTTAAGATTCGATTTTAATTTAAGCGACACATGTTTCCGATGACACCGATACGATGATAAAATTCGCGATTTATTTTGTCTTTAAGTTCGATTGCTCAAATAAATACGAAGTTTTGAAGAAAAATATTTTTTTGGTAACTTTTGACGTTATTTTGCAACTTTCCCTAGTTATTCGTTTTACAGTTCCAAAATCGACCTACCGTAATACATACATATATATATATATATATATATATATATATATATATATATTTATATATATATATAGATATATAGATATAAACTTTATTTCAATCCTTCATGAGATTCCAATTCTTAGCTATGATTAATTAACGATGAACATGTCATTTTCGTTTATGATCGATTTCATCACGATTCTTCTAAGCTTGGAGAGTAATTATACATTCTTATTCTACATAGTAGAGTCCAATGGTGTCATAAAATCCTCGGAGAATTCCAGTAAGATATCCTTAATCATTTCTAAGATACAACGGTACAAAGCTTAATCTAGTAATTGGACAATTTTGCTGTTGCACGATTTGGACAATATTACTGTTACACATGGTATATGTAAACATAAAAGTGGACATTGAAGTCAACACCCAGAGGCGACAGTTTGTTTCACACTAAATACAATCGTCAGGCCTTTTATATTTACATACGCTCTATCTCTGATATTGAGGACTCTAACCCAGAAATATAGAGTACCTTAAAACTTTCTTTCTCTCTCTCACTCTCTCTCTCTCTCTCTCTCTCTCTCTCTCTATATATATATATATATATATATATATATATTATTTATTTTAGCATATTATTACAAAAACATGTAAGAATCGATACACAATTGCAGCCGTGTTTCAACGGATAACGATGTGTCTCGTCAGGCGATTGTAAATTACTGCAATTAAATGTTACGTAAGTTGTGAGTGTACTCTCTACATATACTCACTGTTCTTACAACTGAGGCGCATTTGACTTGTTGATAGTCGATAGAACTATTACATAATGTAAAAAAGAATCTTATCATAAGTTTTTAATTGAGAAAATATTGGCAGTTAGGTTATAACATAAATTTTGCTCGAAGAGAATGATATGCTAAAGGGAATTTGAAATATTAATTATGCCTGGCGTACATAACCATTTAAACATTTAACTTTACTTGTTTCACACTATATCTTGGTTACATTGTAACTTTTCATTTCTTTCTTTAATTATTTTCCAGCCATTGGACTTTTCGCCTTATTTTTTCTCGGCATATTTTCTTTCTTTCTTTTTCACATTCTTGAAAATCTTGTCTTTTGTCTCTTTTTTCATCTTCTCCTCTATCTGTATTCTTTCTTTCTTTCTTTCTTTCTTTCTTTCTTTCTTTCTTTCTTTCTTTATATCACGCCTTTCTTTTCTTTCTCAGTTCGATTTATCCTCTGTCTGCATTCCTTTTTCCCTTTTTTCCTTCACTTTCTCTATTCACCTTACGAGTTACCTCTATTCTTTCTTTCTTTCTTTCTTTCTTTCTCCCCCCCTTTGTATCATGTACTTCCTTTCCTTTCCTTGTTCGCCTTATCCTCTATCATCTTTCTTTATTCTATCTTTGAATATTCCCTGTCATTTTTATCTTGTCTTTTCTTATTCTTCTCTGTTCGTCTTATCATTTATCTGTATTCTTTCTTTCTTTCTTTCTTTCTTTCTTTCTTTCTTTCCCTCTCTTTCTTTCTTTCTTTCTTTCTTTCTTTCTTTCTTTCTTTCTTTCTTTCTTTCTTTCTTTCTTTCTTTCTTTCCCTCTCTTGATATTTTGTATTTCCTTTCTTTGTTCGCCCTATCCTCTACCTGCTTTCCTTTTCCTATGTTTAAATATTTTCTGTCGTTTTTATCATGTCTTTTCTCTTCCTTCTCTGTTCGTTTTATCTTTCTTTATTTCTTCGCCTTATCGAAAATATTTCTTTCTTTGTTCGCCTTATCTATAATCTTTCTTTCTTTCCTTTTCCTCCTAATCGAATTCTAATTCAATTATTTTCTCCCTCAATGCCGACAACTACATCCAAATTCGCCCCCCCCCCTCATAGTAACCCGCATCATTCCTAATCGGCTTCAACACCGGGTGCCCGCCACACCCCACTTCAACTAACGACTTGCGTTGACTTCCTCCTTTTAACGTAATCTAAGTCATGTTCACACAGTGCGTTAGCAAGTGCGCCAACACGTGTCTAGTGACAAGTACAATCGTAGAGGAAATCATAACGAGTTAATACACACGTGTCTGATTTTGACAAATTTATGAAGGAATAGCTGGTTTCCCATCTGATATAACAACTTGTGAATGTAACGTGCATGAGGGGGGGGAGAAGGGAGACAAACAACATATAATGTATACAGATAAACTTATTCAACATCATTCGGGCTGATCGTCTGGGCACGCAAATTCTCGCTCTGACATGTGATCTGGTGGCGCATTTGAACCTTTGAATCGTAATTATACATCACTGTCAGAAATGCTTTTCAGAACTTGAACGTGTCGTGTTGAGTAAAACGTTTCAAATGCACTTAAGACTCACACTTAAGTAAGTTTACACGCTACAGGCAACTTTACGCTGATAATACAGAAATATATAAATCATCGTCTTTCGTCTAGTTGCAAGAAACATTATAAGTTTTCTTCTGAAACGTATTCATAATTTTCTCTTTACATAATTTTGGGGAATTGTTTGACACCCCCCCCACCACTAAAAAGAAAAAAAAATACCATTTCACAGTATTTTAATGATGATTGAATTTAACTCAGTAACTCTGTAATTCCATTATTTATGAGGTTTTGGCTGGAGGCATTAAACACTTCTTTCTTTCTTTCTTTCTTTTCTTTTTGTTTTTAAATGAATATTTGGATTGTGATTAGATTGTTATGTTATTAGATGGACATTTGTGTGGTAAATCTTCAAAGGCTGAAGTGATGGATTTAACTGTTTTCTTTTGAATTTCCGACATATTTGCTGATGTGTATGTTTGTTTGAGAAAGTAGTAGTTCTTTCGGGAAAGGTGAAATTAGGATTAAAACTTGGCGTAGATAGATATTTTGGTAATAATCAATGGCGGCACTCTCGAAGATTTTACTTTCTCGTTTGATGAGTGTGGCATTTTTAGATCAAAATTGTGGTCGAACTTATTTCCGTGTATGTGCCATGCGTGATACGCGCTTAGGCGATCATGTATCTTTCGATACATGACTGACGAGGCAGATTTTTTCCCGCAGTAGGTTGCCAATTTCTTTCTGCGGTAGACCAGTTGCAATCCACGGCTATAGAAACCGGTCTGTCCTGCTATTTACCCATTGCTGGGGGCGGAGGGAGAAAAAGAGGATTCATACCTTTCCCAAAGGTATTAGCACGTAAATGAATGTAATGGATTCGACTGGAATTCGAACTCGGTTCTTCACTGTACCATATAACATAAACCACATCCCTTGAGAACTTTTGATACATGACTGACGAGGTAGATTTTTTTCCCGGAGTAGGTTGCTATTTCTTTCTGCGATAGACCAGTTGCCATCCAAGGCTATAGAACCCGGTCTGTTCTGCTATTTACCCACAAAGCCCTTTGTAAGCCTTTCTTTTGGAATTGCTGTCACTTACCTTGGATTGTAGCTCGGATTGAGAAATCGGAGAGTCAAGTTCGAATTCCTTTTGCATTCATTCCATTAAATTATGTCAGTCAGTTAGGTGCCATGCGTGATACACGCTTAGGCCATCATGTATTTTTCGATACATAACTGACGAGGCAGATTTTTTTTTCCCAAAGTAGGTTGCCATTTTTTTCTGCAGTAGACTAGTTGCCATCCAAGGCTATAGAGCCCTGTCTGTCCTGGGGTGGAGAGAAGAGGATGCATACGTAAGTGAATGTAATGGATTCGACTGGAATACGAACTCGGCTCTCTGATCCCTAAATACGATCCGCTATCCCTTACTCCACCGTGCTTCAAATTTAACTAAGCATTGCAAATGAAATCACTCTAATAGCCCATTCACCACAAGAATTGGAGGAGATGCTCAATGCTATCCACACTGTGAGCCAAACAGTAGGCCTTAGTATGCATCTAATGAAAACCAAGGTCATGTTTAACAGCCACGCTAAACCATCACCAGTTATTGTAGATAGAAAGACTATTGATGAAGTAGAGAGTTATATGTACATCGGGAAGAAGATTGAAAGAGAGGACGCCCTGCTTCCGGGGTCAAAAAACGATTGCGCTTGGCTTAGTTTGGCTTTTAGAAAAGTTGGTGCCGCTTTAGCGTGTGTCCTACCGAACAGTTTCTGCTTTAGTGTGCATCCTACACCCCCATTTGTATCCTACGTTATTAAGACATCGTAAATATATTTGACCGATCAGTTTCTTCTTTAGTGTGCATCCTACCAGCACATTTGCATTCTACATTATTACGGCATTGTCCCGAGTTTTTTCTCGTTATGTTAAAAGACATTTAGAATGTTTTTATTTAAACGATTCACATATCTTTTATGATTTTCTTGCCAAATTTCTTATTTTATAATTTTTTTAAAATTTTAAATTTTATAATATATTATATAAATTTTATCACTCCTTCCATTTTTGCTTTTCCCCTTACGATAGATGATGTAGGATGCAAAAGTGGTGGTAGGATACACTTATCCGTTGGATACCCGCTAAAGTGGTACAGAAAAGTTTATAGCATCATGAGAGGTCTCAAGTCAAGCATCTAAAACAAGATGAATTTGTTTAATGAATATTTTCTGCTGGTGATGACTTACGGAAGTGAAACAACATCACCACATGCAGATGTACTTGCAGGGGCACATCGTAAATTGGAGTGAATCATGGACATCATTACCTTATGAGACGGGAAGAACAACACCAGGATTCGACAACAGACTGGAATGAAGGACATGATCAAGACTATCAAGAAGAACAAAGATAGATGGACTGGCCACGTCTTTCGTCTCAGAGAAGACAGGTAGGCTATTAGATCGACAGAATAGATACCAAAACAGTGGAAAAGATATAGTGGGCAGCCAATGGCGACATAACGTATAATCTGACCCCATACTGCGGCCACACATGGTCCAATATGACCACGGATAGAAAGTGGTGAAGGACAACCAGGGAAGGGTTTCTTCAACAGAAGTGAGAAGGCCTTGGACTAAGATTTGGATTTAGAATTTAAAATACATATTTTAATAGAGGATGCAAAAGAGGCTTAAAATCAGAAGGATATAATATATAATATAATAATAACGTATCACTGTGCTTTATAATAATGACGTATCACTGTGCTATATAATAATGACGTATATAATATATACTTTATATTATATATATATATATATATATATATATATATATATTATATATAATATATAATATAATAATGACGTATCATTGTGCTATATAATAATGGCGTATATAATATATACTTTATATTATATATATATTATATAGTATATATTATATATAATATATAATATAATAATGACGTATCATTGTGCTATATAATAATGACGTATAGAATATATACTTTATATTATATATATATATTATATAGTGTATATTATTATATATAATATATAATATAATAATGACGTATCATTGTGCTATATAATAATGACGTATAGAATATATACTTTATATTATATATATATATATATTATATAGTATATATTATTATATATAATATATAATATAATAATGACGTATCATTGTGCTCTATAATAATGACGTATAGAATATATACTTTATATTATATATATATATTATATAGTATATATTATTATATATAATATATAATATAATAATGACGTATCATTGTGCCATATAATAATGACGTATAGAATATATACTTTATATTATATATATATATATATATATATAGTATATATTATTATATATAATATATAATATAATAATGACGTATCATTGTGCTATATAATAATGAAGTATATAATATATACTTTATATTATATATATATTATATAGTATATATATTATCATATATAATATATAATATAATAATGACGTATCATTGTGCTATATAATGAAAACAAGTAGGATAATCTCTGGATTTACGGACATATCACGTCGAAACGCCTAGATTGGTGATTGCTTGGTGATATCAGGAACGGCAAGATTCAATGTACAGGTGATGTAATCGATAATGGCTCGGAATTGAAAATCGGAGAGCTTAATTCCAATTTCAGTAGGGTTCATTATATTCACGCAAATACCCCTTGAAATGGGATAAATCCACCTATTCTGCCCCCATCAAATGGTTAAATAGTAAGAATTGTATCAGTAAATCATTATTATCTTCAAAACATTCTAACAATCTCCGAAAGTATTTTCTGTTTTAATAACCTATAAAGGGTTGATAAACTGTAAATAACAAATCGATCTTAATCTCTGATATTTAACATTAAATTTTATTTAACTCCTGACTCACGGCCTGCGTGTGTATGTGTGTGTGTGTGTGTGGACCCTGTCCTCACGTACGAAACATGGATCATGCATTCTCATATGCGATATCTCAGTGAATGCCCAACTTCTCGCTGGAGCGGACGTTTACATAGCTCCACGCTTTTCCCACGCTTGCAAGCCAGGTGCATCTTTTTCGGGTCACGTGGATCTGCACTCGGCGTCGAGGAGGTTACCTCGGGTCAAATCTGCACCTGGTTTCACTGACGTCACGCTGAGTGCAAAGTATATTCTGCCATCGTCTGGGGTGAGAGCCACGCTACGACATTTTTAAATTTTTGTTATCTAAAGTAAAAAACTTATAAGATGATGATGATGATACTTGCGGAATGTATGCTTAAATATGGGGGACCTGTGCTTGTGTGTCCATGTTTTGGTGTCCACAATTTCTCCCGCCCTGGGTAAGACGATAAACTACGTCCAACAGCAAGGCCTCTGATCAGGAGATTTTGATGAGCGTCGAACCACCTCTTAATTGCTGGTGTTCCAGGAGTGATACTAGAGACGTG